AGAAAATTATGAAAAAGCCATGGAGTATCTCAAAGAACGATTTGGAAATGAAAATGTTTTAATTCAAATTTATGTTAGAGAGCTATTAAAACTGGTAATCACTGACAAACAAAAAATAGACTTATTAACTCTTTATGACAAGTTGCAAACTCAACTAAGCGCATTGGAAACACTCGGTTTAACTAAAGATAAATTTGCAGTTGTTTTATTTCCTTTAGTGGAATCAGCACTTCCTGCTGCTTTAATACAAATTTGGGAGAGACAACGAGGTATGTCTCCTGAAACAACAGGTAAGAGTGATTTGGAGTCATTAATTGATTTTCTAAAAAGGGAAGTAGAAACTGAATTTAGAGTTAAACTTACCCGCGATGTTTTGGGTTCTGATAAAGTAAGTAAAAAAGGCTGTACTGAAGAAGAATACGAAAGAGAATTTAGTGCAGCTCAAGAATATTACGATAAATTATCTACGTTGAAAGTAAAAGCCAACAGGAAAAAGGATAAGTGTTCACAGCCTTCTACTGGTTCAACGAATAGCGGTTCTTCATCAGGAATAGTTACGGCCGCAAAACAGAAATTGCCATACAAGGCCCAAAATAAATAAAGGAAAAATAAGTTTTTTGACATAAAACCTGTTGTTCCAACTGCATGTGAACTAATTAATGCAAATAGTAGTAATAGTAGTAAGAGTAATGAAAATTTTCAAAAGTATAAAAAGTCTGATACTTGTAATTTTTGTGAAAAATCTCATTTGTCTGAAAGTTGTAAAGATGCATCTTTAATGAGTTTAGAATGTAAGAAAGATATTATTAAGAAAAAGAATGTTGTTTTTTGTGTGCCTTAGAAAAACCATAGAGAAATCAGTGCACAGCTAAACATAGGTGTACCTTATGTAAAAATCGACATTTTGTGATTATGTGCCCTGATTTGCCTTCTAACAAAACAAAAAGTGTCACAAAGTTAGGCTCAGTTAATGACGAAAACAAAACAGGCATTCTTAATAACTATGTTAAGGTATCAAATATATATCTTCAAACTTTAATTGTAAAAATTCAGAATGGTTCTAAAGAAATGTTTGTACGAGCAATTTATGATAGTGGTTCTATGAAATCATATTTATGTAATGATGTTGCTCAAAGGTTAAATTGTAAGTGTATTGGTGAATCAAAAATTAAGCAATTTCTTTTTGGTGGAGTTGAGACTTCAGAAAATGTATATAAAAACTATGTTTTTGAAGTAAGCAATATATAGTGTAAATTAAATTAGAGGTACTTGGTCAAAACAAAATTTATTCTGAAATTAAGCAACTCCCATCTGGTTCGTGGTTCAGCAAACTTCAAGTCATATGGTATCAAATTAAGTGATTTAGAAAATGGTCCATGTAATATTGATAAAGAGATAAAATTATTAATTGGTGCGGATTTTGCTGGTAAGTTGTTAACTAGAAAAATTATTCCCCTTACGTGCGGCGTTAGCGCGATGCATATGCAGTTACGCTGGATTGTTACGGGTAAATTTACTGGCACTGAGCCAACTACGATAAATACTGCAACCCTCCTAATTTCTTCTCTGTTAGTGAAGGGTCAATGTACTAGTGATCTCTGGAAGTTAGATGTTTTGGGTATTAGTGAATCTTCCATAAGTAAAACCAAAACTCAGTTACAGGAGGATACTCAAAAATATTTTGAAAAGGCTCTTACAGTAAATTCAGAGGGAAGGTACGAAATAGCATTACCTTGGGTGTCGGATCCCCAAAACAAAGTGATAGCAAAAAAATGTCTTGTAAGTACTAAAAGAAAATTAATGACTAAGGGAAATTTTGACGCTTACGGAGACGTTTTCCAGAACTAGTTAGCACTCGGGATAATTGAAAAAGTACCGGATAAGAATAAATATAAGGGTTTACATTATTTACCTCATAGAACGGTTGTTAAAGAAAATAGTAGCACGAGTATAAGACCAGTGTTTAACGCAAGTTCTCATTCTCCGGGTTACCCATCATTGAACGATTGTTTGTCTACTGGACCAAATTTAATTGAAATTATACCTTCGATTCTTAATCAGTTTCGCAAGAATTATGTTGGTGTCACTTCAGGTACAGAGAAAGCGTTCTTGCAGATATCTATAAAGGAAAAAGATCGAGACTTTTTGAGATTTATGTGGTTCAGTAGGGATAATCAAGAACAAGTAGAACTGTATCGGCATAGAAGGGTAGTTTTTGGTATTACGTGTAGTCCCTATTTATTGGCCGCTACAATACAATATCATTTGAGTGTAGTTCAGGAAAGCTAATTCTACAGCGGAGTTTGAAACATCCTTTTACGTAGATAACTGTGTGCTAGTATGGATTCAGAAATAGAAATGAGAAAGTTTGTAATGAATCGCAAATAATTATGTCTTCGGGTCATTTTAATTTAAGATTCTGGAAATTCAATATAAGAAGTGTTGTGCCGAGGAAGATTCCTCCACGGAAGATGTGTCTGTTTTGGGGGCCTTGTATGGCATAGTTACAGATACCTTATCCTGCAAATAAGTCAAGATATAAAATTGGATGACCCGTTACTAAAAGACTAGTTTTAGCATAGCCATCAGGTGTTTGACGTTATAGGGTATACGGCTCCTGTAATGTTGATTCCAAACTAATTTACAGGAAACTTGGAATTTAAGGCTTAAATGGGACGATATTCTTCCCGCTGAATTAACCAAAAAGTTTAGGTTTTGGCTTAAAAAAGTTGTACTTACTATCCAGTATCCAAATACCTAGATGGATAGGTATTAAATCTATCAATGAAGCTGGTGAAGTATACATCTCTTTTGTGACAGTAGTAAAAGTGCGTATGGTGCATGCGTCTTTTTAAGAGTACAGAGTGGCAAAAAGGTAAAAGTTAGTTTGGTATACGCAAGATCGAGAGTAGCGCCTTTAAAACCTATTACGATTCCTCGATTAGAACTTCTTGCTTGTAATATTGGTTCTAGGTTATTGTCTTCAGTTATTAATGATATTGGCCTACATGAAGTTCGTATTCACATTGTTGACTGACTGACTCCTTGACGGCTTTAAGTTGGATACGGCGAAATCAACGTTGGAGAGCATTCGTTTTTAATCGTGTACAGGAAATCAGGTCTTTGACCTCCCCCACTGTATGGCGACATGTCCCTGGTAGTCTCAATCCTGGCTGACCTACTTTCTAGAGGTTGTTATGCAGATCAATTAATAGAACGAAAATGGTGGGAGGGACCTGACTGGATTGCTAGAAGATGAGGCAAATTGGCCTAAATCTAATGATGAACCAGATGAGGATCTAATTTAATTCAGAAATACGTAAGACAGTTATTGTTATGTTGGTAAAGAATGATAATTGTATTGGATGGTTACTATAAGTATTTATCATCATTTAAGAAAATTGTAAGAATGTTATCGTGGATATTCAGGTTTTAATAATAATGTACGTAAGAATAATAATAACAACCATTCTAAGGATTTGACTGTATCTGAAATAGAAAGGGGAAAAATAGCTTTAATGTTATTAATACAAAAAGAGTTGTTTAATGGTGAAACAGACGATAAGCTAAGACGACTCAAACCATTTGTCGATAGACAGGGTCTAATAAGAGCTAAGACTAATGTTGCTTATCATGACGACTCTAGCAGCTTTAAGTTTCCCATCATATTACCTTCTGAACATCCAGTAGTCAAATTATTGATATTAAGTACACACAAAGATTTGTTGCATGCAGGTACTACATTATTGATGTCGCATTTAAGAGAAAGATACTGGATCTTAAAATCATGTAAAACTATAAGGAACTGTATAAGAAAATGTGTAACATGTCAGAGATTTAAGGCTAAAAGAGTAGAGACAGTCCCAGGCGTTTTACCAAATGATAGGGTTCGTGATTCAGCCATTTTTGAAATCGTAGGGTGTGATCTTGCCGGACCCTTGCATTTAAAGGATGGACGAAAATCATATATTGTGCTCTTCACGTGTGAGGTTTATCGTGCTATCCATATGGAACTGGTTACCTCATTAACAACTGAATCATTTTTTCAAGCTTTAAGGCATTTTATCGCACGTCGTGGACGCCCTACCACCATATATTCCGACAATGGGACAAATTTTGTGGGTGCAGAAAGAGTTCTGCAAACCATTGACTGGGACAGCCTCTGCTCTAAGGCTGCTAAAAAGAGAATACAATGGAAATTTAATCCTCCATCCGCCGCTTGGTGGGATGGATGGTGGAGCGATTAATACAAATTGTAAAACAAATATTAAGAAAAATTTTAGGTCGTGCTTCTCTTGGTTATGAAGAGTTACTCACTGTCTTGTGTGATTGTGAAAGAATTGTCAACTCAAGACCACTTACGTACGTGTCTGACGATATTGAAGATCCCTTGCCTTTAACTCCAGACAAATTTCTGCATGAACCTCCACAGTCGGGTGTACCTGATATTGACAATGTGGACAAAGAAAAATTGAGTAGAAGAGCGAAGTATCTCCAGAGAATGAGAGAATTGTTAAGAGTGAGATTTCGCTCTGTGTATCTAGGGCAGTTAAGACAGCAGTCTACCAGAAATTACAAAAATAAACCTCTCTTTGTAGGAGAAATTGTCTTGCTGGAGGATCAAATAAAACCGTGCATATTGGAATTTAGCACGCGTATTTGGGTGATCCCTTGTCGAGATGGCAACATAAGAGTTGCTCTTGTAAAAAAAGCAATAATTCAGAGTTCTTGAGACCAATACGAGATGTTTTAGATTGGAACTGGATAATATAATAGATATACTCAAAATGATCAAGTTCCTTTCACCACCAGTAGTGGTAGAGTTGTAAAATCACGAATAATGTAATTCATGTCTTTAGTAATGATTTATTTTTTTGTGCTATTATTCTTGTATTATTCATCAGTATTAATTTTGTTTTCAAGTAGTATGATTTAAGTATTAAGTAATTTTCTTTGTTATATAACCATCATTTATATTGATGTAAGTTTTATGTTTTGAGTATGTAGCCATCCACTCAAAAGGTGGAAGAATTGTGGCGACACACTGCCTTTCTGTGGCAACCCTAAAGAATTCGTCTGTCACGAGGATCACATGCCCAGATGCATCATTACGTCTACGTCTGCTTTTCTGTTTGATAGTTAGTTGAATTTAAGATTTTGTAGAATTAGAAATGGCGTGAAAATAAATGTTCGTGTTTTTAAAAAGCGTCGGCTCAGATTTTCGAACCTATGATTTACTTGTTAAGCAACAGTCAGAAACTTTTACAAGTGCTGTTTTCCAAGAATCTACCCATGTTTGTTGCCATTATAAGCACACTTGTTTATTGTACAAAATGTGAACAAACCAGCTGCAAAATATATTTAAACTGAAAAACAATGCTACATAAATTTTAAATAAATTAATTATGTAAATTCAAAATTAATAATAAGAGAGACTGTGTAATAGATACTCAAATATATGGATTTATTTAGAGTAAAAGATTTTCTGAGATTGACGATTTTTATTTATTATAAAAGATAGCACTGTCTTAAGCTGTGAAAATGCTAAATAATTTCAATATTATAAAATAAACTTGCTTCGTCAAAAGTTTATTGTCATATGCGCATAAGAAAAAAATGGTACTTTCTGATTATCTGCACACCCCTCCCACAAAGTTGCCAACCATTGGCAACAATTTTTTTAAGCTAAGATGTAAAACAGAAGAGCATTTTGAAAAATAGTAAAAGTACATAAAGCAGCAAATAATTCATAATTTTTTTTTTTTTTAAATCCAGAATAAACCACTTACCTTTTTTGAAAAGCTATTCTTTCTCTGTGCATGGCAATCTATTTTAGCTTCAAAAAAACATAAGTGAATTGCAGAAAACTTAGCTTTGCATCACAGTGTGCACAGCACACACTGTCATTTTCTTCATGTACACAAAAATCTGTTTTCATATAAAAAATCAGAATTACATGTGTTGTTTTTTTTCCCATATATGTAGTAATCTGTTTTCACTTAATAAAACATTGCTCTAATCTGGCATTGGTGCACAATCTTTAAACCATAAAATACAATCATTTGCAAGATACAGTTTCATGGAATGTGAATTTTTGCATCCTCGATTATTAAAAAAAAATGCTGTATATCTGAAGAGATGAAATGCTTTCTTTTTCATCAGCTAGCAAACTCCACATTCCCATTACGATTCCTTACCAAAAAAAAAAAAAAAAAAAAAAAAAAAAAAAAAAAAATCAGTTTAACAAAAAGAAGCACAAGTGACCACCACTATGTCTGTTTGCACGAATGTTAGCATCCGCGAATTTCCACATAAATACATTTTAGTGACATCATAGATTTCCAGGTGGCCTGTTTTAGTAACACAGTGAATTAACTCATGGATATTTTTCATAAAAGTGTGGGTAATCAGAAAGTACTGAAAAAATTTCTGTTAAATTTGCTATGCTGAATTTATTTTAATTCAAAATTTTATTTGCTTTCAAAGTTGAATACAATTTAATTGGTCATGGATTATAAGAATTGTTCTGTAATTAGTTTTTTTTTTTTTTTTTTTTTTTTTTTCCCCTCTTAACAGATACTAAGGTGGAGGATGATATGGATGAAACTGCTGATATCCTTGGCATTGCATCTTTAATAATAAATGATTTTTCTACAAAAAGGAGAAAAGATTATAATTTCACCTGGGAAAGAGTTCTTGATATAAAAGGAGATTCTGGCAATTCTTTGCAGTATTGTCATGCTCGACTTAATAGGTATGTCTAAACTGCAATTTTTGTTTAACTGTTTAAATTTTGTTAAGAGCCTTTGCTGACAGGTACAGGTATAACTAGGTGGGACACAAAAGTTTCCCACAGATAGTACAAGTTTAGTCCCACTGTACAAACTGTGCAAAACTAAGAATTATATCACCTCCACAGCAAATTCACTAGTTTGCAAGATCACTGTTCCATGGATCACATTTAAGCATTTGGCATGTACTTGGTTTTTTTACAAAAATGGAGATATTATTTCTATGTAATAGTTTTATACATTCATTTTGTAATATTCCTAACTACTTTGTCGATGCTGAACATAGTGGAAATTATTGAACTGTGTAGCGACTTATTGCTGAGTCCAAGTGTGGAAACGACACACTTGGATTTTAAAGTCCAGGAAAGGGTTAAAATACCCTTTTATTCACTCAAAGAACTAATGAAAGTAGGCCCCTTCCTCTACTTAGGCTTTAAATTCAAGATAAGAAAATAAGAAACTACTGCTAAATTAATCTGACTTAATTAAGACACAATAACACGCCGAATAAATACTAATTCAGAAGTCAAACAACAAAAAATCAGCGTTATACCTACAAAATCTTCACAGGACCAGTTTCGATGGTTTTACCGAACCATCATTTACAACCAAATTGAAATTGGAAAAATAGTAAAAGTACATAAAGCAAAAATCTATTGATTTCCAAGGGCGATCAGACACAGGCCCTCTTAAGCAAGAAAATGACTTGTGATAGCCCTTTGAAATCATTACAGTCAAAAGTCGTTAATTCGGACACCCATAATCCGGACCTCAAAGCTAAAAATTTTCTGCCCATGCGCCGCGTTGGCACAAGCGCACAGGCGTTTTACGCGTGCGCGTAAGACCTTGACTACTGCGCATATGCGTGTGCGCAAGTGCAGAATACGTTTTCACCTGCGCATTTAATGTAAAATGGACGGTGTAAGCTAAAATTATCTAATTATCTATTTCAGTTAATGTTAATGATTGCGCTGTACCTTAATCTTCGAATTGGATCCCGCTTATTATTTTTTGCAGACTGTAAGAGCAATTTTATAAAAGTAAACTTGAACTTTCGATTATGTCAAATAGAATTTCCGATGCTGGAACTTCCAAAGGATCTACAAACGAAAGTATGTTTCGATGTCCAACAAATAAAAAGTGGAATTGCTGCAAAAAATGGATAAAGACATGAAGAAGTTGACAGAGAGGTTAGTGAAAATGAAAAAAATTTCGATTGACAAGTTAGTAGGTATTCTCGGCACAGCAATTAACGGGACTTGAACAGCGGGACTTGTAACTGAACAAGAAATTATGTCTGTTTATAGAATTAAAGAGAAAGTATTATCACATAAAATGAAGCAACTTAAACAAACTTACATTGAAAGAAATGTTTAATAAAGTAAACAAATAAATATCAAGCTCTTTTATTTATTTTTTTTTTTTTTCTTTTTTAATTTTTTGATACCCTTTAGATCATAATTGTTCTTTATTTCATAAATTACGGTTTCATATTTTTAATTTTAGAATTTCTGCATGCCATCTTACGAGATTTAAATTGATGATCTATAATCCGGAATCGCCGAAGTCCCGACGAGTCCGGATTAACGACTTTTGACTGTAGTTTTATTCAAAATCCTCACCAAACTAAGGTTGCTTCTTTGTCTAATTTTGAATTTTATATTGCCATGTTTCTCTTCCATTTGATTCTGATTGGCTGTTTTTTTCTATTTATAATTCCATTCAAAAACTTCAAAAATATGGAATTTTTATGAAATATGGAATATATATATATATATATATATATACATAAGAAATTTTAAATGTTTTCAGCATTAAGGAAAAATGCGGCTTTGATTTATGTAAGGATTGTGAGCTGCAGTCACTTGTTGAACCTGAAGCTATATCATTAATTGCCCATTTAGCTAAGTAAGTGTTTATTATATGCATATAAGTTATCAATAAAATAAGCTTTGTTTTATGCTGTCTGACTTCTGGTTTTGTTTCAGTGCATTTTGGATTTCATTATATAATTAAATTATTGTCTCTTTTTATCAAGTTCATTAAGCTCTTGAATTGATACTAATTTTTAACATTTTGGTTGTAATTGCATATTAGTTTTGGTTAAAATAAATGTATAGAAAATAATGATAATTCTATTTTATGTTAATTTATTCAAGTAAATATTTTAATTTGTATTTATACATGCTTACTATGGTTATTAATCAGCAGCATTATCTACTAATATAGGTGATCTAATAAACAATATTTTAGAATAGTAATTACCGTGTAACCTTTTGTGGGTAATTATTACACAAGACACACTCTTTTAAACTACATGCTACTTTATTATATGTACAAAATTGATCATCACTCGCATACACACTTATATGTACAGCTACTCGCATCCCACTCATTTTCTTATTACAGCACGTGCTTCAATGCTTGGCACAGTGCCAGTTTTAAGTCAGATTATGATATACCACATCGATAGTTCTCGATATACCACATTCCTTCCCCTTTATCATAACTGCAGTCTATCTGAAGGATATCGAATTCTACTGCACCGACACAAATGTTGTGGCACTGCTGGTTTCTTTGGTAACCTAATTGTATCAGCAGCAGGTCTGGTGGATGGAACATCTGGTACAACCTTGGGCTCAGAGAAACGACACAGACTCATTGGCCTGGTGGTTGTTATCTTTGGATGATTCTGGAACTCCTTTCTTATCTGGTTCTTTGGAAATCACGAGAACTGGAGATGGATATACGAAAACCCTCACCTGTTATGCATCATACATCTGATATGTCGTTGCCATAGTTGGCCATCTACATTTATGGTGTAATGAAGCTGCCCATCCTTGGATTGGACAGTTCCAAATCTCCATCATCTATCACCTTGGCGATAATTTCTTACTGCCACTCTATCTCCTACTCTAACTCCTGGGTCTGCAAACTCGTAGGTTCCTTTTCGAACTCTGTCTTCCACCCTCTTTTTGAGATCTGGTCTCAATAAATCTATTCTTGCTCGATATTTCCCTCTTCAGCATTAACATTGCAGGGCTCTGTAGAGTAGTTAAATTCGGTGCTTTCCTATATTGTGTCAAAAATGTACTGAGTTTTGTCTCAAAGTTCCTGAATAATTTTGCATTGTTCTTAAAGATTGTTTTACTGTAAACACATACCATTCAGCCTGCCCGTTACTACATGGTTTAAAATGGTGCTGTAGTTTTGTGTTTGATTCTGTTACTCTGGAGAAATAACTAAATGCCCGTTTCCACTTCTGCATATGTGTATGCATTTCTCCAATCAGGGAAGAAATTCACTTTGATTAACATCTGCAATCTGGTCGATGTGAGGTGACGGATGACGTGCAGATGGAGTTCAACTTCTATCTATACATCTGCAGATGCGTTGGGTTTACATGGTAAAAAAGAAGCAATCAGGTGTTGTCACCAAAAATTAATGGTGGCAGAAGTAGCGATGAACGCTCGCTTAGGGAAAGAATGTTTTGCTAAAAAATACTTATTTCTGAATTAACATTATAGCGAGAAATATGCGTGCTGAAAAAGACAGCAATCAGCTGAATTTAGTTAAAAAAAGATAAGAAAAATAAAATAACTGCAACTACAGTACTTGTTTGCAGATAAAATCAAGCGTTCAAGAAATTCAGTTCAAAAAAATCAGGTGCAAAAATTATAATTTCAAGTCCATGAAATAGCAAAATTTGTCCTGACAATTATTTCCTAGTTCTGCATAGACATGTATCTTTAATGAAAATGAATGTCTAACTATATCAAACTGCTATAGCAAATCAGATATGACATTAAAAGATTTGTTATTTTTTTCTTTTGAAACAGGAAAAAAACTAAAAACATGAATTATAAATTAAATTTGATAGCTTTTTAAATATTCCACTGCATTAAAGAATATGTTAAATTTGTATTTCTCTATTTATAAATAGTATACCTTTTTGGCTACCATATATTTTTAGCAACCCATTTAACTTCAATCAGAACACCACTTTTTAAAAGATAATGTTTTTTGTAAGAAATGTACTAGAAGCTGAAGAACAAACTCTGGTGAATTTTTTAGACGATAGCACACTGAAATAGGACAAAAAAATTTAGTTTTAATAATTCATTTGCTTGATGGTGTATATAAGCCAAAACATGCATATCATTCCCGTGAGAAGCTAGCTTAGTGGTAAAGCTAATGGTAACCAGCTTTAACTTTTGGGGTCGTGAGTTCAAATCCCATATGCTTTTTCCATCCTGTTTGCAACTTTCTTAGCTTCTTGTTCCAATTTGATCTATATTCGTATTTTATAATTTATTTATATTATTATATGCACTAAATATAATGTTTTATTTATGCTCTTATTTATTTAAATTTTCCCCACAAAAAAATTTTGAAAATTATATAATACGAATTTAAAGCATATCCTGTACATATATATATAATTTCGTTTCACTTTTATGTGAATGTACATACATGTGCTCAAACTTTGGGATGTTTACAGCTCTAAACTTTCATTACCAATTAACATGAGAGAGTATTAATGCCCTAAGCATTTTTTTTAAATTACTATAACAATTGCTTTTAAATTCAGTCCTCTCCAGCAGAAGCATAGGAATTAATTAATTAAATATTTCCATTTTCTTTATCTAATATATATATAAAGAGAAAAAGCTTATTTTTATAACTTCTTCTATAAAAAGAGATATGAATTAAAAAAATTTCAATTAAAAATAATATTTTATGGATTATGCTTAAAATATAACTGCCCATAGTGCATTTTAAAACAAACGAGATTTCTAATAAATTATCCAGCTATGACCCTGAAGAAATTAAAAATGAAGAAATTGATGCTAAAATGTTATATATTACCTGCTTTCTCCCCAAATTTCGACATATTTTAAAAATATACTATCTCACATGCAGTCAGCGGTATACAAGCATAGCAAATTTTGTGTAAATATTGTGAACCTTTCTTTACAGTTGCTCTTTATTTTTAAGGTAACAACTATTTTTAATTCATTTAACTTTTTTTATTTTATTTATTTATTTATTTATTTTTCCAGTAATGGTACATTTTAGTTTTAATAATATATATATATTATTTCATTAATATTTAAGACTTCTAGAAACTCAAAGAGATTTTTTTAATTTACTTCAGCTTCTATGCAATTAGTGATGTTCATAAATGCATTATAACCTTACTTATCTAAAAATTGCTAGCGTACTTTACTTTCACGGTTAATAAGTAGAAATAAAAATTTCCAATAACATGGAATTTAATAAACAAAACTTTTCTGCGTTTTACGTCAGGATCTATATTAAATCCAAAGCAAACAATACTCGCTTAAGCAGAAAACATTCAGATGTTCAGCGTCGTAACTCGAGAAATGGTTGTTTGGCACCAAAATATTACTGTGACACCTAGCGGCGGAAAATGAAAATAATCAACGGATAAGCGGCAGTGGAAACACTTGTAGGCGTGTCTTCAATTAATACAATGCATTCATACGCAGTAGTGGAAATGAGCCTTTAAACTCATTTGAAGTGAATTGTGGCCTATTATCACTCACTAACAATTTTGGCAATCCGAATCTTGCAAAAAAGTGCCGTAAACGTTCTATTGTTTTGAAAGTTGAGCTTGATTTTGATTGGATAGGCTTCTAGCCATTTTGAGTGAGCATCGACGATTATCAAAAACATATGCTCAAAAATAGGTCCTGCATAATCGATGTGAATACGTTCCATTCGAGTGCTCAGGTACTCCCAATGATAAAATTTTACCTTAGGAGGATCTATTTTATGTTTTGCACATTCAGAACAGTTTTTGGAAGTACTTTCGATATCTTTATCTAAACCATTCCAAAATACGTTAGATCTAGCAATTGCTTTCATCCTTACAGTCCCTGAGTGTCCATGGTGCAACTCTTTCAAAACATTATCGCGGTATCGTTTTGGAATTCAAACACATTGACCATACATTATACAGCCATCTTGGAGACTGTACTCCATCTCCCTTCTTTTCAATTCACCGTCGCTTTGAAGTATTCATAGCAGAGGACTGAGTTCAGCATTAATTTTAGTTTCTTTAGCCAAACCTCTGGCAGTGATTAGAAGAGTTTCAATCTGCTGTAATTGAAAAATAGTTACATCATCCTGAACAGACAGTTGCTCTGATTTCGTCGGCAATCAAGATAGAAAGTCAGCATTACCATGTTCGTTTGTTTTATGGTAAATGATATAGAATTGGAATTACTGTAAAGCCAAAGCATGATGTAGGAGTCTTGTTGCTGCCAAAACTGTCATGCCTTTCTTTGACCAAAAAATTGTAACAAGAGGTTTATGATCTGTAATTAACGTAAATTTCCTGCCTTTTAAGTACAGAAAAAAATTTTAATTCCTTAAATGATTGACAAAGCTTCTTTATCGGTTTGAGAATACTTCTTCTCTGTTTCAGAAAGTGTTCTAGAAGCATATGCAATTGGCCTTTCTGTTCCATCAAGAAGTTTATGAGAAAATACCGAACCTAACCCCACTGGTGATGCATCAGTTGCCAATGTCAAGGATAATTTTGGATCATAATGCATCAAAACTTTTGTGAACACAATTCTTTTTTAATGTTTAGAAAGCCTCCTGACAATCTTTCGTCCAAATCCATTTTGAGCTTTTCTTAGTTAATTGATATAAGGGTTTTGCGATTGTCGCTAATTTAGGGCAAAATTTTCCATAAAAATTAACCATCCCAAAAAGCTTTGAATTTCCTGGACATTTCTGGGTCTTGGGGCTTTTGCAATCGCTGATATATGTTTTCATCAGTCTTATGTAAACCATTAGCATCAATTTTATGACCTAAAAATTGTATCTCATCCTGAAAAAATTTACTTTTTTCTAAAATTAATTTCAGTCCGTGAGTTTTATATTTCTCAAAGAAATTTTTTTAAGTATTTAAATGTGCCTCATCATCCACCCCCGTAAAGCCAAAGCTGTTATCTGCTCATAATCCATGAAGACCTTACACCCTTCTATTCCGTAGAATAGTCCATCTACGTAATGTTGCCAGATTGCCAACACTGCATTTAGCTTGAACATTAATCTCTTACACTTATATAGTCCCTTCTGTATGTTTATTATTAGCAATTTTTGAATCTCAGAGTGTACTTTCATTTGTAAATAAGCATGTTTAAAATCAATTTTTGAAAAATATTTTCCCCCACTCAAACATGAAAATATTTCCTCAATGGTCAACAAAGGGTGTTGATGCAATATTTAGGTTTACTGTCACCGAGTAGTTGGCACACAGTCGTATAAAGCCATCCAGCTTAACTGCTGGTGCTACCGTGTTGCCCATTCTGAAGTTTCAACCTTTTCGATTATACCCTCTTTTTCCAAGCGATCAATTTCTTCATCTATCTGGCCCTTTAACGCAAATGGTAGTTGCCTAACTCTATAAAATTTTGATGAAACAGTTGGCTGAAATTCAAGTTGAACCTCATAATTTTTTATCTCTCCTAATTTTCCATCAAAAATCTCTTTATTTGTTCCAATAATTTATTTAAAATACTCTTTTGAGACACAGAAATTGACTTTATTGAGGACCCATCTAAATTTATTTCTGAAAGCCAATTTCTACCAAATATTGTATCAAGGTTTTTCTTTAACAATGTAAAGATTTAAGTTTTTATTTTGACCTTTATATTCTACCTTAACTGTAGTAAATCCTAAAGGTATCAGTTTTTCTCCATTATATGTTTTAAATACCAGATTTGTATTTTTAACTTTCTTTTTCGAAATTTGTCGGAAATTTTTTTAACTCATTATCGATACTGCACCCCCAGTATCCAGTTCCATAGCTACCGGTTTTCCTTCTATGTTCACTTGGACCATTATGGGCAGTTTCTTATTTTTCACCTCCCTGGAATGTATGCTGTTTATAGGAACTGTGTTTTCATTTCCTACATCTAGCTGTTTTTGTTTCACTTTCATTTTTTTTAGCATTGTAGCGTGCCTTTTTAATGTACCCGATTTTCTTATGAAATCTGCAGATACTTGTCTTAAATTTTACAAGAATTTCTATCATGGTCAGTCCATGTACATCGTAAACACATTTTGCCTTTAGCACTCTTAGCTGTGAAGTTTTTTTCTTCAAACTTTTGTTTTTGAGCGAGAGATTTACCTTTATTCCTGGCACAAAATTCCTTAATTTCAACTAGTTTCCCAATTATTTCATTTGCACCTTTTAACGCTTTTTCCATTGCCAAAGCTATTTTTAAAGTGTCATCTAAACTGATGTTATCCTGCTCAAAAATTCTATCCAGAATAGCCCTATCTCTTAGCCCACTAACAAAATACATCCCGCAAGATCATATTTAACATATTCTGATCGTAAGCGCATGGTATGGCAAGTGACTTTAAATGCCATATACTCACTGTTTCCCCCTCATGCTGCTTTTGATTTAAAAAATACATGTCTGCTAGGAATTATAAGTGGCTTAGGATTTAAATGATTTCTTAATATTTTTTTTAACACTTCATAATCTTTATCGGCGGGATTATCAGGAGCCAGCAAGTTTTTTAGGAGACTATACATTTTTCCATCTAAACTACAAATCAGTACTTTCCCACGCTTGTCCTCTGAAACATTTTATATATCTAAATAACTTTCGAATCTCTCTAGAAACGAATCAAACTGTTCTTTGAGTTCATTATATTTTTCAAACTGAACCGAAAGTTTCAAATTGTCCATTTGTGGAGTAATCTATTCTGTGGTGTTAACTCAGTTACAAGTTGCTCTATGATCTTCTGAAGGAAAAATGATTATAAAAGCTTTACCTTGAACAGTCTTCGGGGAATCCCCTAATCCTTATTTCGATTGAATTATGCACATTAGTGTTACCATAAATCCACCATTGTCCTCAGCTACTGTGTATCCTTTAGTGGATAATTAAATAATTGTGTAATACTAGAAAATACGAGGGCTATCCAGAAAGTAGATTACGTTTTGGAATAAAAAAATAAACAAAGTATAGGAAACAAATTTTATTATATACAGATGAAAGCCACACTCAAATACTACTTTTCTACATAGTCACCATACAAATTAAGGCATTTATCGTAGCGATGTACGAGCTTGAAATTCCTTCGTCGAAAAATTCGGCCGCCTGCGCCTTCAACCACTTCGTTACCTCTTCTTGCAGCTGTGCGTCTCGTCATCAAAACGCTGCATAGCCGGCCACTTCTTCATTGCTGGGAATAGGTGGAAGTCGCTCGGTGCCAGGTCGGGACTGTACGGCGGATGAGGAAACAACTCCCACTTAAAAGATTCAAGAACTTTACGAGTGACATTGCCGTGTGGGGCCGGGCGTTGTCGTGAATCAACAAGATCTTAGAGCTCAACATTCCTCTGAGCTTGTTTTGAATTGCTCTTCTGAGTTTTTGGAGAGTTTGGCAATACCTTTGAGAGTTTATTGTAGTGCCTCTTTCCAGGAAGTCCACCAAAATTACACCTTTTCTGTCCCAAAAAACAGTCGCCATCATCTTCCTTGCCGACATTGTTTGCATGCATTTCTTGGGTTTTTGGGGAGAACTTGTGTGCCCCCACTGCATTGATTGCAATTTCGTTTCACAGTTCACATGTTTCACCCATGTTTCGTCACCAGTAACGATGCGATCGAGTAAAGAGTCACCATCCTTATGGTAAGCGGTCCAAAAAGGTCAACGCTGCAGCCATTCGCTGATTTTTGTGGTCCTCTGTCAAGATTTTTGGAATCATCTTGCACAAAACTTGTGGTAACCAAGCTTTTCGCTGATGATTTCGTGCAACAAACTTCGCGAAAAATTTGTGGAAAACTCAAAGAAAGTTCCATTATTGTGAAATTTCGATTTTCACGGACTTTAGCATCTACTTTTCGAGAAGTTCGGCGGGTCACTATGCTGGGTCTCCCACTTCGATCTTCGTCGTGAACATTGGTTCGGCCATTTTGAAATCTTATGACCCACTGACGCACTCCACCTTCAGTGATAATGTTGTCCCCATACACTTCACGAAGCTGCCGATAGATTTCTATCGGTTTTACAGTTTTTTTTGCAGTCAGAAACCTTATTACTGAGCGCACCTCGCAGCTCGCGGGATTTTCAATTAACGCAGACATTTCAAACCGTCCAGTATCTGAACGGAGCACAGCACGAACCTCTCACTAGCACGGCTAGATGCAGACTGAGCTGTGCAACGCTCTGACCCCAAGATGGCCGCGCTAGCCCCGCCCCTAGCGGACACAGACGGAAACGTAATCTACTTCCTGGATGGCCCTCGTACGTATAATTTCAAAAATTAATGAGAGGAATAGAATAGTAAAACTAAGTAGTGAATTTTTTTGGGGGTAAAGGCAAATTATCAGGGATAGAATATTCTAATAATATCTAAATTACATTTTTTAAATTAATGGTAAAAACATATATTCTTTTTCTATTTATTCTTAAAAATAATTTGTATTTTTTAAAACAGGTTTGATGAAGTTATCTATAAAACTTATGCTGATCTTGAACCTTGCATATTAGTTCATTATTTATTCCTTCTAAGGTAGGTTCTAAATCTCAGTTTTTAATTTTATAAATTGTAATCGTTGTTTCCATACCTTGTTTGTTTTTAAGTGTGTTGTGGAAATTGCAAGCCTAAATTTAAAATATTTTTTAAGAGAGGCAGAGGAATCCTGACTGAATTGTAATGTAATAAAAGCATTTTTAGTCTGTATGCTCATATAGCAAATTATTCAGCAAACGTTGTTGTCAGTCAGTTAAGTTTTTTTAAAAAATTAGTGAAGTTATTGTGTCTAGGAAATGTTATATAATATTGTCTGATCATGAATAGTATGGTCTTCCCTTTGTAAAAACACTTAAGCTAACTCGAATGAGATATTAGCAGTAAAATTTGTGTTTGAGAGATAACCTAGAAATGTACAAACTATCTGAATGACTTTTCATGGCTTTCAACCTTATTTTCAAGATATGCTTACCTACTGATAATTTTCTGATGCTCAATTTTTTAACCCTTTGCGGCGCACTATACGTTAACGTCGGAATTTCAACAAAAAAAAGTTGTATGCAGTCTATTTAGTCTTAAAGGAGTATACAGGTAAAATTTTGTAAAAATTGCACTTACCGTTTTAATTCTATGGGTGTTCCATGAAGTGGAATATTGCACTGCCAGAGCTTTTAAAAGTGTGACTAAGCAGCATTGCAGTGAAGCACGAAAATGAGTAGAAGCGTTTGTATAAGAATGAAAAATCTCTGTATTATGTCTTATACATGGTTTCCTGGATATGCACAATATTCATGAATATATATGGATAAATGAGATAAATATCTATATACACAAGTCCTATATACAAAAATATTTACAAATTTTCGGAATGAGTTAGACCTCTCCGCGCCATTTATGGAAAATTAATAATAAAAAAATTAACTATGATTAATATTAACAATAAAGAAAAATAAGCCTATAATATATACATACATGAAAAATATCTACACAATTATTGAAAATAAACGGGAATGAGACTAAAATGCGACAGCAAAAAATTCGCGCAGATTATTGAAAATAAACGGGAATGAGACTAAAATGCGACAGCAAAAAATTCACGCAGGTCTAAGTAAAGATGAGTCAAGCTACTAATAAAATTCCCACCTAAAAAACTACTCCCAAAAAATTTGAGATGCCAATATTAGGGCTTCATAACACAAAACACACCTCACCCCTCAATACTGCTTTGTTTGAATTCATTCCCCCCCCAAAAAAAAACGGAAACAGAAAACGTAAACAACGGATGTTCTCTCCTAATCACAGATGTTCTGATTGTAACAACATGAGATTGCTAAAGACGCAGTGTTCCTGCTAATGGAACACCCGGTTTCATTCAATGATTCTGCATATGGTTTTTGTATAAAAGATTTAAAGAAATATAGAACCAATAATTGAGTACAGCCAGCAAAACTATGCCTAATTTTTTTTCCAAATAAAATTTTTTATATCATTAAAAAAATAGAGAAAATTACTTGAAAAAAGTGGATTTTAATAACACATAATAAATGAAAATTCTGTGTCTCCTTGTGATATGCTGTTATCTACTGTTTAAAAGAAAAGTTCAAAATATATTATAAAGGCATTTTTATCTATTTACAACTCAATTTGGGTGTTCCATGTAGTGGAACACTGAGCCGCAAAGGGTTAAATGTAAATTGGAGGAGGAGATTTAAATATATAAACTTGATTTCCCAAATGGATCAAATTAATTTCTCCTGTTTTATAAGTAAATCAGGCTGAGTTATGCATGCATTCTTAATATCTGTATTCACATAGTCTTTTCTGATAACAATCCATTAATTTTTTTCAATAATTTGAAACCATTTTATTTTGCCTGTCAACTCTGGACATAAATAATAACATAATTCTTCGCTTGAGATGTTTTAATTTTGTGTGGCCTGTAGGATTCTAACATGGTACAATTCCGTTTTTAAATTGATGAGAAATATAAAATACATCTTGTTTGCTTTTCAGTTTTCCAATTCATTATATTTAAAAACATGTGGTTTAATTTTATTTTAATTTAGAATTTTTATTTCATCTGGTAAGCCTTTTCTGTGTAAATTGAATGTCTAATAGGCTTTTCTATTCTAAAGTAAAATTAATGGTTCTCCTCCATACAGTTACATACTCTATCTAATTATTTTTTACATGAGATGAAATCAAAATCGTAAAAACAACCTTGTATTTTGCGTAATGAAACACTCAATCGATTTCGAGGGCAGCTAAAGGTCCATCCTCATCAGGAGAAAGAAATACCTAGAAAGAAGAAATTAAAGGAGAAGGAGTATCAGAAACATGTGGTCCTTATCAGCACTGCACGTGGTTAATAACTGGATTTTTAATCAGAGTTGCACTGGCCGCCTACTTTTACTGAGCCAGGCTATCTGATCAAGCATAAAGGACAAGAAAAATTAGCGAAGTTAAAATAGGAAGCGAGGGGCAAATGCACCTTCACGCACAAAATCTGAACTTCAAATAATGAAAAGGAACCACTGAATGAATTTTTATACCCTTTGGTAGTACCAAACGCGAGGAGGTAACACCATCTATCGGAAAAAAAACTGAATTAAATAGTAGAATTTTAAAGGCATTAGGAAGGACTGGATTGGACTTCAAATCATTAACTAAACCTGCTAAATCTTTGTGAATGTGAAAAGCCTCAAGAAAATCCAATTCACCTTTGGAAGAAGCCTTTCGGATAATTTTTGCAGACCCAAAGTCAAAATTATGGTTAAATGTCCAACTATGATACGCTATTGAAGACTTGTTAATTTCGCCTTTTCTGCCATAAGATTCATGTTCCTTGATACGAAACTTCAACGCTCTTTTTGTTTGGCCAATATATCTTAAACCACACTGACATGATATACTATAAATTCCCCAAGAATTCAAGACAGAAATGCAATCTTTTAGAATCGAAGGGTAAATTTTATTAATAGGGAGAAACCGACTTGAAAATTGAATTTCTGAAGAATCCGTGCAATTTTATAGCTTACAGAAGGATAAAATGGAAGCATGACAAGGTCATTAATATTATTTCTAATAGTAGAATGTCTTCTTTGATGGGAATCTGAAAATTTTTTAACTGCTTTATCAATAATCACGTGAGAAAATCCACGGTCAATCGCAACTGCTCTCAAATAATTAAGTTCATTGGTAAGCAAAGATTCAGAGGAACAAACTTTAAGTGCGTTGAATACATAATAGTAAAAAGAAGCCATTTTTTGCTTAACAGGGTGACATGACTTGGCATGGGGTGGTAAACAAACTGCAAAGGGTTTATGGTACACAGTGGTGCTAAAATCAGTTTCATTGCGGAGTATAAGAATATCAAGAAAGGGGAGGGAATTGTTGGATTCAATTTCAAGAGTGAATTGGATGACTGGATCAATTGAATTCATTATAGATAGAATCTTGGATAAATCCTCTTTATAACCGTCAAAAAAGTGCGAAAGTGTCGTCAACGTACCGAATCCAAAGACGAAAAGGTAGTTTATCAAATAATTTCATCTCAAAATAGTGCATATAAATGTCAGCAAGTACCAGACTAAGAGGATTACCCATAGCCAATCCTTCAACTTGACGAAAATATGCATTTTGGAAAACAAAGTGGGTTTGACTTAGAGAAACTTTAGTAAGCGAAACCAACTCATTAATTTCAGTATGTGTGAAGTGAAATTCCTGGAGCCTAGTTTCAAGACAATTTAGTGCTCCTTCGACCGGAACATTAGTAAACAGTGATTTGACATCAAATGAAACCATAATGGAACGAAGTGGAGAAATATTTTTAAGTTTATCAATGACTTCAACAGAATTTTTTACAGCGTGAATATTGTTAGCAAGTAGAGGAGAAAATCTGGAAACTAAATATTTGGCCAAAGGATATGAAGCAGTACCTATGTTGGAAACAATTGGTCGAAAAGGAATACCGATTTTGTGGACTTTTGGAAGAGCATAAAGCCCAGCGCAATTAGTAATAGGTGGAATAAGTGATTTCTTCAACTGTGTTGGCAGAATGTGGGAAGATTTGATAGCACTTTTAACGTTGAGGTCCGAAGTTGAAGGATCTTTAGGGATCGAGCAGTATGGGCCTTCATTTATCAGTTTAGAGACTCTACTAATGTATGTGTGTTTGTCCATAACAACGATCTGTCCGCCCTTATCAGCTTTAGAGATAATGATATTAGTATCAGAATGAATTTCATGTAAGATCTCATTTTCCTTTTTGCTAAGATTCGAACCCAAAGATTTGCTGTTAAAATTAACGTTATGAGTAATTAGGTGGCGGATTGTATCCTTCTGTGTTTCCGAAATTTTGGAGAATTTGAAGGCTTTCTCTATAGGGGCGATGATTTGAGGAATTGAAGGTTTAGATGTCTTTGAAAAGTTGAAATTATAGTTTAATACTTTTAACTGATCCTCCGAAAGTTTCCTATTGGAGATATTAATGATGGGGTTAACGTTTACAGTGGGAAGATCAGCTAGATAGGTGGGACTATCCGACTGGTGTGTTAGTTTAAGGAATTTAGAAATAAGCACATTTTTATGCCGTTGACAAACGGTATTGGTTCTAGACCAGGATGTATGTTTAAATGAGGAAAAATTTTCAGTTGAATTAGCAATTTTTAAATGGAGGTAATATAATTCAAATTCAATTTTAGATAAACGTTTGCGCGTGTCCCTTATAATATGACGAAGAAGTGCCAATTTGAATTTATGCAAAATTTTTTAAACGTGAACGGAAGCTCTAAGGCTACATTTCACATGTATAAATTTTGGGAATGATATTTTGATGTCTGCATTTAAGTAGAAACTATAGATGATTCAAGAATTTCATACGCTTAAGGCGTAACTTACAAAATCGGTTCTTGTCAGTGGACATATTGTGGAAAGGGTACAAGCAAGAAACAAGTGAACAAAAGAAATATAATTCTAAAAGTCCAAACAAAAAATTACTTATAACATGAAAAAACACCAATAAATAGTGAAGACAATTTTCATCAACATATGACAAAAACATTTCCAAAAGGAGAGAAACATCCAATACTGAAAACCAGTAGCCACGTGGAAAGAAGTAACGAAAGTCAAAATCGTGCACGTGGTAAACCGATAAGAAGTAGAATTTCCTCAAAAATGTCGGTTGATAGCATAAACCAAATCCGAAAAACTAACAGCCACATGGAAAGAAGTAAATAAAATGGTGCACGTGGTAAAACAATAAACAGTAAAATATTCTCGAAAATGCCGGTTGATAGCACAAACTAGACTAGAAGAAAAACACGCTAATGTGATAATCAAAATCGTAAAAACAACCGTGTATTTAGCGTAAGTATAATGAAACACTCAATCGATTTTGAGGGCAGCTAAAGGTCCCTCCTCATCAGGAGAAAAAAATACCTAGAAAGAAGAAAATAAAGGAGAAGGAGTCTCAGAAACATGTGGTCCTTATCAGCACTGCACGTGGTTATAACTGGATTTTTAATCAGAGTTGCACTGGCCACCTACTTTTACTGAGCCAGGCTATCTGATCAAGCATAAAGGACAGAAAAATTAGCGAAGTTAAAATAGGGAGCGAGGGGCAAATGCACCTTCATGCACAAAATCTGAACTTCAAATAATGGAAAGCAACCACTGAACGGATTTTTATACCCTCTGGTTGTACCAAATGTGAGGAGGTAACGCCATCTATCGGAAAAAAAAACTGAATTAAATAGTAGAATTTTAAAGGCATTAGGAAGGACTGGATTGGACTTCAAATCATTAACTAAACCTGCTAAATCTTTGTGAATGTGAAAAGCCTCAAGAAAATCCAATTCACCTATGGAAGAAGCCTTTTGGATAATTTTTGCAGACCCAAAGTCAAAATTATGGTTAAATGTCCAACTATGATACGCTATTGAAGACTTGTTAATTTCGCCTTTTCTGACATAAGATTCATGTTTCTTGATACGAAATTTCAACGCTCTTTTTGTTTGGCCAATATATCTTAAACCACACTGACACGATATACTATAAATTCCCCAAGAATTCAAGACAGAAACGCAATCTTTTAGAATCGAAGGGTGAATTTTATTAATACGGAAGAAACCGACTTGAAAATTGAATTTCTGCAGAATCCATGCAATTTTATAGTTAACAGAAGGATAAATTGGAAGCACGTCAAGGTCATTAATATTATTTCTAACAGTGGAATGTCTTCTTTGCTGGGAATCTGAAAATTTTTTAACTGCTTTATCAATAATCACGGGAGAAAATCCATGGTCAATCGCAACTGCTCTCAAATAATTAAGTTCATTGGTAAGCAAAGATTCAGAGGAACAAACTTTAAGCGTGCGGAATACATAATAGTAAAAAGAAGCCATTTTTTGCTTAACGGGGTGGCATGACTTGGCATGGGGTGGTAAACAAACTGCAAAGGGTGAAATACTGTATTTTCTACATTTTTTTCTCTGTAATTAACTTGTATTATTGTGTAAGCAACAAATTTTATTATCAGCCTTGGCCTGCAAAGCATGCAACAAATGATATTTTTAGTTCATTAATGGGAAATCACCATTTTAAATTTTCTTATGCACATTTAGGCCAACTTCAAAACTTCTCCCTGCTGACCACTTGTATGAAGTAATGAAAACGTTTATCAATTTTCAGTTGATCTGTTAATTCAGCATCCTTTTACAGGTTAGGAATCCTGTGTGAAAAAAATTGTACTTTTTTCAGATTGCTAAATTTTCTTTAATTTAAGGAAGTTGTCATTTATCATATATCTCACTGGAACTGAATCACTAAACAAAATGTTTTTAAAATTGCTTACCCTTTCTGTACTTATCACAGACAAAAACATTCAATGTCAGCTTGTACTTTTCAAATGAGAGCTACTTCTTCTCAATTGCTATAACTACCATTAATTATTCTCACAAATAAATATAAGAGATTGATCGCTCGAGAAAAATAACAGGTATACTCAAAATTTTTATTCCTGTGCTAGATTTGAACAAAACCTTCTAAAAATAAACATTTTAATAAAATACACATATTAACTTCCAAAGTTGATGTTAAAATGTCAATTTTGGTGAACCCTTTTCAAATGAAATATGCAGTGTAAAAAGTGAATTTTTAATATATTACTTTTAATTTGGTCATTCTGCGTCATTTTAATACTGTTGATGTAGTTGTAAGTATGTGCACGTCTACTCATTTTTAATGTTTAAATGTGCGATTTTTATTCAAAACCATATATAAAATGTCATTATGAAATTTTCTGTAATTCAGGAATGAAATTGGTCGAGCAATCAAAGTTCTTCCTGTGAAAGGTTCTAATCCATATGTAGGAAGGGTAAGTAGTATTAAATCACAATTTATAATTTAATAAGAATATAACAGAGCTGCGTGCCCTCCCAGTTAAACCAAGTGACAACAGTTTTATATCATGTCTGTTGAGATCTTTGTAAATCTCAGAATCTTTCAGTTTTTCATTTGTCCAAATTTAGGTCATTTCTTACAAATGCAATTCTAGAATTATTGATGAATACTTTTGTGAGAATTAGAAATGCTGTAAGTTTTTTTCATAAAAAATTCTGTGAAGAAAAAAGGGTAATAGTCTATTGTTTAATAGATAAATGCTTATACTTCATTTAACTAGCATTTAATAGATTAGTGTTTTATTTCATTTAGCTTTAAATGTTTGTAAATAGTATATTACTGAGATGATCTACATAAGGAGCCTTAAACATGTGGGCCGCATGAAGCCCCTGAAGCAATTTTGTGCAGCCCACAAATACATCTCAATATTATGCTTATAGACATAAAGATACAACTGAGTTTATGTGCACAACCGTTATTAAAGAAAAAAGTACAGAATGAATGGCTTAGAGCTTTGTCAATATTTGCTTATATGCTAGACCATGTGACCAAGTTAAGGTGGGATAATTTCCCTCGTTGATGTAGTCATTAAGTTTAATTTGCCAGCCAACAATCGGTGGCCCTTCAGTATTCTGAAATTTCCAGTTAAGGTTAAAAATAGTTATTTGGTTGGTTAATTCAACATAATGAAATTACCTGAAATAAATGCAAGTCTAAAATTTAATATTTAGCTGTTGATATGTTTAAATTATGAAATATAATTGATAGAAATTTCTTTCAGGTACCAAGTTTTAAACTTCAGATAGAAAATAAATATAAATCTGAATTTTTTCCGTTATGATGTTATTATTGTTTTTGTATTTCTGTTAAATATTCTGTAAGTAAAATTTTAAATTAAGTTTGCTTTTTGGAGGGTTTAAAAATAAATTCTGTCTCATCAGCTGCTTTCAACATTATCAGAGACTTGTAAAAAATGTGACAGTGTGTTGAACTAACACATTATTAGAAACTAAAAATTTCAAACCAGACATTATTAGTATTAATTAATTAGTTCAGCATTAATTTTTGTGTTTTCTGTACTTAAATACATTTTTCAGAAAAGCAGCCTAAACTGAATTTTATTGTGGTCAGGTTTTATGTCTCAAGCCTTATACTAGTGTTCAAAATTAAGGGAATTTGCATATTTTGATTATTTTCTTGAAAAGTACAAAAGTTTACTTCCAAACAGAAAGTGTAGATCTTCAGTGTCACACAAGCATACGTGTACATATGGGAGGAGTATGTAAGGGAAGGGTCATTAAAAGCATTCATGGCATTTTCCTTGCTTTGATTGCCTGCATTCCAGCAATATTTATGACGTTTTGGAACATTTAGTTAAATTCAAAAGCAGATAGCTAAAATGAATAACCATATATGTTTGGATGATGAAACAAAGTGGGATCATAGAGAGATTTGAAGCATTGTAGTCTTAAATGTAGATTACTAGAGACTAGAATTTAACACTCAGCATCATATACAGTTTATGGAAAATAAGGTACAAATACTGGATCCATAGAGAGAAAGTCTGGGCAAGGTTGTCTGAGAGCCACAGAAGCTAATAAAGATATATATTTGTCCATTTCATCAAAGAGTAAAGAGGACAACACCAGCTTTTCAACTCTCTTGTGACTTCCTTGCACCCACAGGAAGTCAAGTTCAACCTAATTACTGATTCTCAGTGTACCTTTATCTGGAGAGAATCAATAGGCCAGCGGCGATTTCACACAGACCTTCATGTCATTGACAGAAGTTCTGGGACTACTACAAGAAGGATACCTTAGAGCCCTGTGTTTTCCCATTTAGGGGTGCATTTGGCTTTCATTTCATTTTTGGATGATAATGCTTACTCACATAGGGCTAATACAGTGAATGATTTTCTAGATGAGGCTATTAACTGAACAATTGTCTAGTCATACCTAAACCATAATATGTCTTGGATCCTTTTGGGAGAGCAGTTGCAACTCACCTTCTCTCTCAAGACTTAAAAATAACATTTCTGCAAGACTGCCATCGACTGCCACAGAAACTCATAAACTACCTCATTTTCAGTATGAAGTCATGCTGTGTGAGCAGTGGGGCTGCTAAAGGGGACCGCATGCAATGTTAGCTTTTTTTGTTTGATCTTGCAACCTCCATTTTAGATCTATGCCAATGAACTTTAAGCACAAGCATGCATGTGAACTATGACTGTTGAATATCTTTTATTATTATAACATCAAGCAATCAAATGTTATCAAAATCTCTTTATCAGTTCTGGAGATAATCAACCAAATGTGAAATTTCTCTTAATTTTGGCTCTCATTGTGTAATAGGAAATCAGTACTGTAGGTCATTCTGGACCACACTGACAATTCAGCTCAGTTTTACTGCAATTTTAGTAAAAAATCAAAATCGAAATTAAAATGCCTCGCTTGATTTGGCATGTTATTTGATAAATAGGCTTTTGAATGTTTAGCTGATTTTGCTGTGAATTACTAATTTTTATGTTTCTTATGAATTATAATCTTAATTTTACATAACTTATTTATAAATCTGTTATAAAACTGATTAATATAGAATTATCAAGAGCATCCCATTAAATATTTATTAAGTAAGCATTCCATTAAATATTTATTTTATGTGCATTATTTTCATGTATATATTGTGATACATTAATTTTCTTTCTCTTTTCTTCTAGGCACGACTTTTGTTATTTCATGCAGCTCAATTGGTATTAAAAAAGGGCTTACAGATATTAGGAATTACTCCTCTCAATCAAATGTAAATTTCTGTTATTAATGTAAATGATTGTTTTTATACATTAAATATTTTTAATCAGTGAATATTCTTTTTTATCATTTAAGCCATAAGATTTTTATAGTTTGAAAACTTCTTATTAACTATATTTTATCACCTTTATTCTAACTTTTTTTTTTTAAATCTGATCTTCAAATTAGATAGATACCCAGCCTTTTAAAATTTAAATATTCAGTGCAAATTCTCAAGTAGCAAGCATGACTATGAACTTTATTCCATAAAACTATTGTTGCCATCAAGGAAAAAAGGAAAATTCTAAATGATCTGTCCACAAATGATTTGCTGCTTAAAAAAATATCCATATTAAAAATTATGTAAAACAAATTCATTTGTCCCTAAGAGTTTCAATGCTGGAAAAAAAATTTTTTTTTTTCATTGAGCATTACTTTGATTTGAAGTTAGATTAACTTTGTTATGATACAAACAGTTCTTAATGCACTGGCATATTGTTTGACAAGCCAAGCTTTCCATAGAACAGTCCATTAAACTTTTTTTTTTTTCTTTTTTTTCTGTGTGTGTGTGTGTGTGTGTTTAATGGGCACTCTGTTAGTATTCATTTTCAGAAACTGTTCCAAAAAGCAGAACAGTTATCTAGAATTGTATGTCAGGTCATCTTCGGGCTGCATTTGAATAGCCTTAGTACATTACAATGTTGGCCAAATGTAGTTACTAGACCAACAGAAAATTTGGTATTTACTCATAACACAAAGTAAAAGTTAAATATCAAAGGACTGACTAGGCATCATAGAATTTGTGGCTCTCTGAGTACTAAGTGAACATTATTAAAGTGGTATCATCAGCATGCTGCCTTGACTGAAAAATAATGGCCTAATGTACATTGCTTTGGTGAAACAAAATTTGTCTCAGGATTTGACAGTCAATGTGTAAGAGTTCAGGGATGAGAGAAAGGCAAATAACCCAATAATATCATTAAAAATCACACATTTAATTGTAGCAGTGTAATGGTATTCACTAGATTTTTTTTTTTTTTTTTAAATATTTTGTATCAAGTACTAAAAAGAAATTTATCATTATCAGTTTAAATTGCTTTTGTCTTATAAAGCAGGGGATCCCCGTATTCCTTGGGGGTGAGTGATAATTGAAGGATCAGTAGCTGAATATTCATTAGTGAATGATCAAGATCATTAATAAAAAAATAAGGATCAGTGCAAAAATAATTATTAATAAAATTAAGTTGGTAGCAAAAAAATTATTAAAAATAAATTTTTAAAAAATCTGAAAGCTTTCAGATTTTACATTATACTCAAAGGGACTTTTTTTTTAACCCTTTGAGTGTTACCTTTATTTATTAAATGTTCTTTGCACTTAAACTATAAAATTCAATTCAACAGCAGTATTGCAAAATAATTTTAAAATGAGCGTATCATTAGAATTTTCGATACAGTCTCACGTTCTCGAGATAAAAATGTTTTTTCCCATACAGTTTTGCCATGGCTCAGTTTGAAATCATTGAGTTTGTTAATCAAAAATTCGTTGAAGTGTTGCAAAATGTGAAATCGATAATAAAACAAATTTCAGATTCCTAATTAAAGCTTCTATATTTGATGGAAGATGGCCTTTCAAACTGCACTAAAACATTCCATTTATATAAAAAAATTAACTTGACTCCATTATAAAAATAATAATTATATATGAAAATTATAATGTGAGTGCCTTCGAAGTTGATATTCACTACAATCTTACAACAGGGTTCGTAGCAGTCCTTACAAGTGCTTATAAGTCCTTATATTTGAAAATAAAATGCTCTTATAGGTGCTTACTTTTTCTTTACAGCCCTTATTTTTTGTTTTAGTGCTTATTTTTGCTTTAGTGCTTTTTTTTTTTTAATCCTTTTTTTTTTTAATGACGAGCATTTTTCCCCGTACCAAAGCCGAAACTAAATAAAACAACTTTTCTTCCTTATACTATGCAACGTCAGATGGGAATCATACTCCCGAAATTGCTTTCCCCTTACTCTGCATTAAGGTAACCTATGGTGCGCGCGAGAGTACAGACAGGTGCACGTCGTTCTATTGGTCAAAGAACTGCGAAAACGGTAGAAAATTCGGTACATTCGGTATTCTTTTCCTCCCATCCAAATACTACACATATTTGAATTTCTGTCAAGATTTTAATAATTTGCATTCTCGTTCCACGTGGTCAGTTCATATTTGTGTTTATTATGATCCTTATGCTTATATTATGAGTATATGCATGAATATTTATAATATAATAGTTGCAGTAACTGGTGAAGTATAGATAAACTTCCAAAAAATGGGTGTGTTTTTACACAGATTAGCTTTCTAAGGAATAATATTCGGAATGGCTTAAATAAAAGAAAAGTAATCAAATAGTCAAAAGAATTCCCCCCCTCCTCCAATACATTATACAGTACGGAGGTTGGGTGGTTCTCCCCTTTCTCTGCAAAATCTCTAATTTTGAAGCAGCGGATTTTTTTTTTTTTTTTTTTTTTTTTTTTCACTGTCCAATCTGGATTGAATAGGACTAAAAGTTTTTGCGGTCTACCCTACCTAAGCGAAGATTGATTCTATTCCGGAAATTTAATGCAGTCTGTTGAAAATTAGAATCGGAAACACCCCAGATTAGTAAATTTCTTTCTTTTCCTTTATTTAGTTCTTTATTCTCCGAATACCAGCAGCTGTTGATTCCGATTGCGTAATATCACATGTGGAAGATTATGCTGCACGTATTGCGCAATAACGTTTGCAGTATTTTGCAGAAATAATTAATTTTGATGTTCAGTCTGAGATTTGTTTATGAACACGTCAAAGAGTTTTTACTGTGCTTTCTAAGCAAAATATTTCTCAGTTCCGTTGGTCTATTTTTATATCATGCACATACTGAAATGTCAAAATCATTATTTAGCCGAGAAATCTAAAGAACGGCTACAATCTCCCCCACACCTCTTTTTCCAGTTACTACCCGGAATATTCAGCAATTTCCGAGTATGCGGGTTATTTAAGCTTCTACTGTTAAAGGGTGAGTGACTACATGAAGCAATTTCCCGTCTTCTGATTTCATAAATGTGCCTCTTTTTTACTTAAATTACTTTGATTGGTGATTGGAATACATGTTAAGGGCAAACTGTTATGCAATGAAAATTTAGAAAATGTTCAGAATTTTGATTTAAGTTAAATTATTTAAATATTAATAGGAGTGGAAAAATAATTGTATTTTTATTAGGTGCCAAACGAATACAGTTAATCTGGCTTATTAGTATTTATTTTCTATATTTTTGAACTGAAATTCATCATTAAATCTGGTAATATAGTTTAGTTCTGCATAGTTTTTTTTCTCTCATTGTAAACTAATTCTTAAAATTGAACTGTCATTTAAATTTAAAAAAAAAAAGTTAATTGTTTTCCATGGTTGAGGTAATGCTCATTCTCTTAATAAATATTGCATTGCTCATTTTTTAAATTGCAAGTCTAATTTTTCTTTTAAGGTTATGCAGTTGTGTATAATGTAATTAGACAGGTGCTTATTTTTTCCTTAAAATGTGCTTGAAAAGTGCTTATAGGTGCTTATTTTTTTAACTAAAATGTGGCTACAAACCCTGTACAATAATCAGAAAATTCTTAGAATTCAATTTTTTAAACAATAATATCATTGTTTAAATGATTCAGAATAAAAAATATTAATTCAAAGATATTTAAACAATAATACAAAAATAGATCAATCAAGTTAATAACTATCCCTAAATAAAATCTGAAAACTCTGATTTGTTAAACTGAATTTGCAAAATTCGAATTTCTAATATTATATAATTTTTAATCTTTCAGTAATGCTATACAGTTAATCCAACAGAAGAAAACAGCATTAGGTATTCAAATTTGTAATAATAATAATTATCAGCAGTTTGCTATTCTATAAAACATATTTAATTGCATCAATGAACAAGCAAATTATCTATTTCGTGGCCAAGAAAAATATTTACTATTTAATGCCTTTTAACAGAATTAAAAGGTATTAAAATGCATTACCAAATAATATTAAAAATACTAAATTCATGCTTTCAAAACCATTTAAAAACATTGAATTTTTATTCTTCATATCTTGAACAATAATTTCATGTTATGCCAAAACAGCGTAATCACACTGCAGAAACTTTAAGCAGAGTTAGATGCAAAATATAGAATCTGCAGTATGTTTAATAATTTTGTTTCATTGGTAAATAAGCCTTAGTAAGTTCACACAAAGATAGTAATTTTGAGTTTTTTACTGACGAAATGCTATTTATGAAAAGTGGAAGAGCAAATGATAATTTTCTGTCGCACATATTTGAAAGCATATTAAACTTAGATCGACGACCTCGAACTCACTGTAATGCTGAATCTCTAAAGTGTTAAATCACTGATGATTTAAAACACACTTTTGCCCCCCTTCTGAATATTTTAGAGGTGGCCAAAATAAATTCTACACTTTGTTTTCACTAAACATTAGATCTTTCGAACTTGCAGATAAGCAGGCACATTTATTTTAATTTTATAGATATTTTAACAAAATCCAGTTGGGATATGAATTTTCCATCAAGATTTGTAGCATGGAAACAAGATTTATTTCTTTAACACACTTTCTAATTTCATAGTTGAATTTTCCACCCACACCATTATGACATTATGATGAAAGAGACAGTGAGGTTGATGACATAGAATGTAGATCCATAGTAAAGAGGAAATTTGTTAGCCAAGTAAGATTAAATATTCAACTTCATTTCAATTGATATTTGCAGCCACAATTTACTTGGCACTCTAATCATGCCTATTCAAGAATATTTATATTTTTGATACCATTGTGTTAGGAAGAAAACAGATATCTAAATACTTTATGGGAAGAGAGGTAGAAGCTAAAAGTGCACAATTATCCAATATAGAAGCTTATCAAGAGAAAGTTTCAGTTCTCAAACTTTTTAGTTCAGGTTCTGAATTAGCTACATCATCAGCATTACGCAAGCCACGTGACATAGACTAATTTATAGAAATGACAGAGTCCAGAAAAGTCATTT